CCCCACTCCCCCGTCCCCTTTCTCATCCTTTCAGCAATATATATTTATATGCCCTTCGGGTTTTAAGTTCTAACTACGAGTAGCTGATGTCTAGCAGATTTCAACTTATAACTACAACAACTAACAACTGCTCCTCGTTTTCTCACTTCTACAGCGGAAAGAGCGGGGAACCAGAGGCTCCGGGGCGCCACATTCCTCCTGATGAGGTCGTCGTTGTGAGCTCTGGCAGGTGTTGAGAAGGGGGTGCGGATGGTAATCATCGGTGGGTGCCGAAAACGAAGCGATTTTTGAAAATTACTCCAATATTGATCGACAGGCCTGTAACGTTGAGTGGCCGTTCGGAAAACAGGGTCGAGGGTGGTCTTGTCGGGAGAAGATTGAGTAACACCTCAGAGAGAGAGAGAGAGAGAGAGAGAGAGAGAGAGAGAGAGAGAGAGAGAGAGAGAGAGAGGGAGAGAGAGAGAGAGAGAGAGAGAGAGAGAGCGATACATAACATACATACACATACATACACATACATACATACATACATACATACCATACATACATACCATACATACATAACATACACATACATACAGGCAGACACACAGATAGACATACAGACAGACAGACAGACAGACAGACCGACAGACAGACACAGTAAGGGGATAACAAAAGAAAGAGATAGATAATGGATTGGAAATGGGGGGGGGGGGTACCACGAAATAAAAGACTAATCTTTAGCTGTTGATTTGTCGCGGTTGAAATTTAATAGTGACACAATATCTTCCAACAGAGATACAGACTTACTTGAAAAGGTGGAAAGAGCATTCATAGATTATCGCGGGGGAAAAAGAAATAATTGGAAAGCAAGCTAAACAGGTATTCCTGATCATTTCGGGATGGGTGGGGCGGGTGTCGTGGGGGGGGGTGTCTGAGGCCCAGACACCAGTCTCATCCACAATGTATAATAATATACTAATACAGTCAGCACTACATAAAACACCCCACCCTCGTTTCACAGAAATAATTACACGGAAAAACGACACCGACAGGACTAGTTTCGCATCATCATCATGAACCTGTACGCACGCTGCTCCTCAGAACCTTCGGTTTTTAACTACATCAAAAGCAGAGCAAAATAGCTGCTTTTAAAACGACGTAATTTTAGGGGCTTGTCGGCAGCCATTGCTTCACCTGTCCCACGTCCCACTTCTGTGCGTAGAACTAATGAAGATAACTGAGAGCCGACTGGTTCTCATTTTTTGCACACTGCAAGACCTTTCAGTAGCTCTTCAACGCCTTGTCTGGCTTTTGTTTGTACTAGGACAGGCGTAATATTGTAATAATATATCATTTCCACCGGTATGCGCACTTGGGGTGGGGATGCTTACCCTGCAGCTCTAATGAGTTTGTGTGTGAGTGTGTCTGTAAAGGTAAGGTGGAGACGGATTAGTGAACATTTCTTTGAAGTCTGTCTCGTTTAGTTTATGAGACTGGCACCACATATTATTATTACGAGAGACGGTCTTATCCACACGACACACAAACACACACACATACACATACACACACACACACACAAACACACACACACACACACAAACACACATACATACATATACACACACAACACACGCATACCCACACACACACACACACACACACACATACACACAAACACACACATACACA